CATCATCCAATTTCAATTCCAGGTGCTTTTTCGATACTATTTTACTCCATTATTGCTAAATTTGTATCTTTTTTCTCTTTACCCTCGCAAATTTACTATATTGATTTGTTTGCAGGACTCACGTATCCATGCATTCTAAGAGCCCCAGCATTTGTAAATGCCTCGCTACACCCCAACAACTTGACACTGGTTCATACTCTTCTCTTCATGTATCTTTACATTAATTATTGAATGAATCTAAAAAGAAAAATTTGTTTATAATTCGTTCCAATATGGGATGTTTACATTTATGATTTTACTTGTCATTCAGCAGCTTCAAATTCATTTTACGCGGATGATTTTTCCAAAATAACGTGCTTTTCATTATGCTTTTACTTGTGATAATCTTTTCTTTTGTATTTTTTGGATATTTTGATTCATGATTTTACTTGTGATTCAGCAATATCATGTTTTGAGCAAATGGTTTTTCCAACAAAAAAGTGCTTTTCAATATGGTAAACTAATATAAAACAGCTTATGGTTTTCTTAACAATTTCCAAATTATCAAAATCAATTTTTTTAGTCGGGTGCATGTGGCTCACTCACTTATAGCTGATTTTAGTCTTGAAAATGAGCATGGTAGTTGCTTAGGTTAAGAGTATTTCATCAGACAATATATGGCTTGAACATGTTCTTATAAGTGGGGACAGTCCTCACCCTATAAGTCAGTTTTGTAAGATTGAGTTAGGTCCGACCACATTTTCTCAACATGGTATCAAGAGTCTTGTTTAAGATCTGGTGGACCACATGTTATCAGGTTTCCGCTATCAGACCACCCATCATTTATTTTCACGCTACAGTTGTCTAGTATTAGGCGTGAGGGAGTGTGTTAAGAGTCCCACATCGGATAATATATGACTTAAACATGTAACTTATAAGTGGGACAGTCTTCACCCTATAAACTGGTTTTGTAGGATTGAGTTAGATCCAACCACACTTTCTTAACAGCTCCATCAAATTATAGATGTAATTTTTTTTAACAAGATTACTATTTTTTTTTTCATTCCCTTTTTTGTTTTGAAGCCTACAAGACAAAGGTCTCTCGCAATGAAAACTTGGGTAAACTTCAAGCTGGTTATCTCTTTCCTGAGGTATGTCATGTTGCTTGATCTATCTATCTGTTTTTGGTCTTTCTCTTCATTTATCTCCTGTTAATATCTTCCTTTGTTTTGTTTTTCTACTTTATTGCATAAAAATAGATTGCTAGAAGAAAGTCCGAACACTTGCTCAAGTACCCTGATGCAAAAATAATAAGCCTTGGGATTGGTGATACTACTGAACCCATTCCCGAAGTCATAAGTTCTGCATTGGCAAAGGTAAAACTTTAGTGTTAGTGAAGCTGATATGTCTTCCATGTTTGCACTTTCTACAGTAGAAAATAATCTGTTTAGTTTCTCTTTTTTCTGCTTCTGATGCCTTATTCTGATGTTCTCATCTCACATTGTGTGTCTAGTTGCTTCTGTTTAAGTTTGTCTTTTATTGGTAGTAAAGATGTAATATTTTGTACGGGTGTATGTAAAGAATTGTAAACTACAAAATAATACTTTATCAATTCAATTGTTTGGTTCTAATGCTCCACCTTTTGTTAACCGGGCATTTGAAAATGTTTTTTTTCTTTCTTTCAATTATTCAGAAATCACTTGCATTGTCAACCTTGGAAGGATACAGTGGTTATGGAGCTGGACAAGGTGAAAAGGTATGTCGTATCAATATCTTTTAGTAATTGCTGTTTTTTTTATAGTCTAAGCATGTATTTTTTAAGCTTTTGGCTGCCATCTTTTTACATAAGTTAATGATGCTTGGAAGATTAAGAGACGTTCCTAATCTATGCAGCCACTAAGAAGTGCAATTGCTTCAACATTTTACCCTGATCTTGGCATAGAAGATGATGATATATTTGTCTCAGATGGAGCAAAGTGTGATATATCTCGTCTCCAGGTTCATTATTGTATTTTTTAAAAATAGATTATGTTCTTCTCAAGTCTCCTATTCTACTTATTGTGTTCTTCTCCCGGTCCACTTAATGTTATTTGATTTCAAATACCCTCCTTTTTGGTGATGGGGATGGAGTGGCAAGATAGTTGGGTAATGTAACTAAATTTTTTATTTTTTATTTCATTTGGCGGCAGATTGTCTTTGGTTCAAATGTGAAAATGGCTGTGCAGGATCCATCATACCCAGTAATTCATATCTATGCCCTTGTTTATAATTAACCTTTCATATATGATTGGAATAATACCTAAAATTAGGAAAGTGAAGGAACACTTAAATGGCCTTTTGTTTCTTGTAGCTTCTCGGTAAATAACTGATATTTTATATGCAGGCCTATGTAGACTCTAGTGTAATTATGGGCCAGACTGGTCTGTACCAGAAGGATGTTCAGAAGTTTGCGAACATTGAATATATGAGGTGTAATCCGGAAAATGGTTTCTTTCCTGATTTATCTTCTATTTCTCGACCGGATATAATATTTTTCTGTTCTCCAAACAATCCTACTGGCGCTGCAGCAACAAGGGAACAACTGGTCCAACTAGTTCAGTATGCTAAGGACAATGGATCTATAATAATACATGATTCAGCATATGCTATGTATATGTCTGGTGACAACCCGCGCTCCATCTTTGAAATTCCTGGAGCCAAAGAGGTCAGTATAACTTGTTTGTGTCATTATACTTCTATTTATGTGCTGACACAATCGTATTAGAGAAAATAGTTTAGGTTTAGGAGGACTAGCTTTTCAAAGCTATATTCTGCTTTTGATGGTTGGTGAATTCCTTCAAATACGATTGTGAGTGACATGTTATGGCTTTTTGCAGGTTGCCATTGAAACTTCATCATTTAGCAAGCTTGCTGGGTTCACCGGAGTACGATTGGGTTGGACTGTGGTTCCAAAACAATTACTGTTTTCTGATGGATTTCCCGTTGCCAAGGACTTCAGCCGTATCATATGTACTTGTTTCAATGGTGCATCAAATATTTCACAGGCTGGTGGTCTTGCATGCCTTTCACCACATGGCCTTAAGGTTGGTTATTTCTTTTGGTCTAATATTGATTAAGTCATGTGTTTTTCAATGAACAAGTTACATAATAGGCTTGATGCATTTGAATGTAGGCTATGCGCGGGGTAATTGGATACTACAAAGAAAATACCAATATAATAATGGAGACATTTGATTCTCTCGGGTTTAAAGTGTATGGAGGGAAAAATGCACCGTATGTATGGGTCCATTTCCCGGGCCAAAGTTCATGGGATGTGTTCAGTGAGATTCTTGAGAAGACGAACGTGGTTACTACTCCCGGGAGTGGTTTTGGACCTGGCGGTGAAGGTTTTGTCAGGGTCAGTGCTTTTGGTCACAGGGAAAATGTCTTGGAGGCCTGCACAAGATTCAAGCAGCTATACAAGTGATGAAATTTAGATCATCTCAATTGGATGATGTCTTTTGAATAATTTTCATGAGAATAAAATTTAGACTGGATAGCAGTGTTTACCTTGGTGCCATTTTCAGTTTTATCATTGTATAAAACTGAAAATGTAGCAACACATCATAGATGATGTTTAATGTCTTGTATGCTTTATTGATAACTGTCAAAATGTAGGAATTCAATGGTATAAGTAGCCTAGTGACTAGAATTCATCCTTTACGGATGAATAAGTGGAATGTCAGATGTTCCAACATATACGTTTGCATCTAATATGTCTGTACAGTTATCAATTTGCTCTAATAAATTATCATTAAACTTTAAAAAAATGATTAAAAATTTCAAATGAGAAGGTTCAGTTCTTTAAAAGGATACTAATTGCTGACCCAAATTTTTTGGTGAGATACGATTGCAAATTACCTTTATAACTATTTTAAGACCCTTATATTACTAACTTTTCAAGAGGGGTCTAAGCTTTAGAATTTGAGGGGCTCATGTGCACCACCATGTTAAACCAATCCACATCATGCTCTAATAAGGCTGATGTGTGATTGTCCCCTTAAAAACAGAAGAAAAATAGAAATTTTGTTGAATAAAAATTGATAAAGGCACCTCCACCTTTGGGAAAGGGTGTGCTATGACCCTTTGCTGACGGTTATTTGGCCACAAAATAAAGCAAGATCGTCCTATTGTCTCCTTAAGGATAATAAAAAGTCTTAACTTTATGCACTTTAGCTTATTACATTTTTCATTATATACACATTTTTCATTGAACTTTTCTACTAAAATTAAAATATAGTCAAGTAGAGAAGGAAGAGTAATACATATTATATACACACAAATAATAATGAATGGATTCCACGTCCTATAAAAGAGGGGCTTTTCATTACATCCAATAACATGATCCATATGGTAAACAAGTCTAGCCTTATACTTTATCCATAGCCAACAACTTTTTTATTTTTACTATGAGATTAATTAATTCTACAACAAAATCAGCAATATACAAAACAACATATTCCCTTTTTGACAATAAATTAATTTCAAAATGAAACATTCTTCTACAACATGTTCTAATAAAAGAATGAGGTGTCCTTTGGTCCTTATCTACCCTAAAATAAGCACAATCTAACGTCACCACCACACGCTTCTTGCTGGATTGTGACTAATGGTAGGGGTAAAGTGACTTGCTCTTGAAGCAAGTGCATATTTGATATTACAGTGAATTTATCTGAATCATCACAATAAAAGAAAGACATGTGTCTTATTATGATTCTGATAAATTCATTATGATACCAAACATGCATAATAAAGATAGTAAATAATAATCTTGATTGAATTGTTGCGTTTCTTCCTCCTCATATCACTGATTCTACCGCTTCATACCGTTGATTCTGCAAAATAGGGTTACCTTTTAATATATATATCATATGGTTGATAATATACTTTAAAGGGTCTCCATTTTGCATATAAAAATGCCACACTTTTTCAAAATATATGTATGTACACATGAATCATTCCACAGTGTTATAATAGTCTTCTTAAACAAATGCACAAAGTGATGAAATCAGCAAATACACAAACATCCAGTTGACCATGCTTTGGTTTTCCTTTTGTGCTGCCTGGTTCAAAGTAAATTTTGATTTAAAAATAACAATTAGATTGATGTTTATCAAATTTACATTACATTTTGATTTTCTATTATAAAAATTATACTATCAGATTTCACACAGGTACAATGTGGATCAGTACAGTTCATATTTTAATTTGATATAAAATAAAAAGTAAAATATGTTTTCTATGAACCGTCGCAAGTGTTCCGAATGCCTGAAATCAATTTCAAAAACTATACTATAAGCATCTTGGAAAAGGACAATATTTTTGGACAGTGTTTATTTACCTTTGTTCTAGTGGCAGAGGAGGTAAGAGAAATTGAAGTAGATGGATTTGATGATTTAGCAAAAGAAGACAATCCAACATTGTATGTCATAGATTCATCAGGCTCAAACAATCCATAGTTTCTTTCCGATGTGGGTCCATTCTTGAGATCTTCATTAAACAATGCAAACAAATATGATTCCAATCTCATTCTAGGCCTCAAAGGTGTTCCTTCATTTGCCATTTGTCTTGTCAACAAATTCTTGTTATAAATTTCAGCATTTTTCAATGATGCACCAATTTCATCAGAATCACCTTTAGAAGGCCAACCTGTCTCAGAAACCCTAACTTCTATCCCATTAAACCCTAATTTACCTATTGCAAATGTGACTGCATCTACCATAGCATAAAGCATGTTATCATAATGTAAATTTGTATTAGGATCAACCATTCCTTGATTAGGGTTAAACAATACATAATCTAATGATATTTGATTAGGGTTATTCTTATAAGCAAAATAAGGATAAGCATTGATCCAAAAGGGTGATTTTGTTTTAGACAAAAAGTTCAATAATTGATACATGACTCCTGAGATTTCACTTCTGAAACTACCAGCTGAAGGAGGATAAGATTCTTCAAGAACTTCCAATGAACTAGGTGTTGACACATGGATGTTTGTGTCTAAACCTAATTGAACTAGACCATTATGAATGTTGATCATTGCTGGAACAAGATATTGAATTAGGCTCGAGTCGATTTCGGTGAACACTTCATTTCCTACTTGAATTCCAGTTATCTTTGTTTCAGGCACATATGGTTTGATATTGGTATTCACCCATTGAACTGCTTGTTGTGGATCATTCAACAGGTTTAGTATTTGATTCTCAACGGTCACAATGATTTCCACATTCGAATCCGCGAAAGCTTTGAGAATCTCCGGATTCGTGTCGTAGATTCTTGTTTTTGTGATCTTTAAGGTACTGAGAAGCTCAAGGACTTTGGTTGGTGGTGGCAAATTGTTTGCTACTTGTCCATAGTTGATTCCAAATGATGCTACCAAAATTCCAGTATCTGTGATTTCAATAATTTCAATAATCAAGTTAGTTAGAAAAAAATTAAGATAATAATAACATGCGTGGTGAAAAAACAGAACAAACCTGCGGAGAGAAAAAATGGTAGAAGAATAAAATAAAAGAATGTTGCCATAGTAACAAATATTTGATTTTGTTTGAAATTTGGAGGGAGAGAAGGAGAGAAATGAAAATGAGATGAGATATGATATAGTTTGCCTAACAAGTAAGTAATGTGTTAGTAAATGGTTTGTTTGGTGTTATATTTATAATGATGTAAAGTACATGGTTGTGACTTTAGTCTTTTACAAATTACAATACAATTCCACTCACCAACCTTCAATTTATTTTATGTTTATTTATGTAAATACCCTTCACTAAGTCACTATCAAAAGTGAACAAGATTTCTAGTCGGTCAAATATTGGAGGAGAGACACGTCATGATATTATATTGAATTTCATTTTACTATTGTGCTCACATTTTTCAACAATGCCAAACAAATTTTTATGAAAAGTGATAGATGCAGAAATCTTAAGATATATGGCGCCAAATCTACTGTTGAAGTTACGGGTGCTTGATAAAATAATGAGAGTAGAAAACAAATGCAATTTTCTTTTTTTTCAAATATGTACAACTGTATTTTAATACAAAATTATTTTAGACAAAATTATAAGATAGGTCTTTTTAGTATAAGAGAAGTCTTTTAGTATTCACTCTATTATTGAGTGAAATTCCTATAGATTATACCATATGTAGGGTCTACTTTTAAGCCTAAAATTTATAAGAACTTTATTACTAAAATAACGAGTATTAATAAAGTGTTAAAAAGAGTGTTCTTAGATTAACTTTAAATTATTTTTGTTTAAATTTATATTACATTTATTTTGTAGGTTAGTATTTTTAACAAAGGGGGTGTTTATTTCGAGTTTAAGAATTAAGTTTTCAGGAATTATTTTTAAAAAATAGTTATAATCGTGTTTATTTAGAGTTTGAAGAAGATTTACTTTTAAACATAAAAGTTTTAAGAAATAAAATAATATTAAATAATTTTTATAATTTTAATGATTTTATTCCTATATAAAAAAGTGGAAATGTTATTTCTCATGAAATTTCACATGTTTTTTCTTAAAAAATATAACTGCTAATTTTTTTAAGAATATAAAATAATATTTCAAACACATTTTTTAAAAAATATCTTAAAATCAATTTTTTTTTTTTATTTTCGAATAACTTATTTTTTTCAAATTCTTGAATCAAACGCATTTAAATTGTGTTAAAATAATCCACACGTGGCATTTTAATATATTTTATGTATTAAAATTTTATTGACACATGTCTCAAGTATCGTTCCCGTGATAACTAGATAGACGTATATACAAAAGTCAGATTTCGAAATGAGAATCCTTCACACTTAAGTTGTGCGAGTCTAGGCACTAGACAATTTAACTATTTCTTCATCTTAATTTTTTCTTAAATCCAATTTCCTAATTCTAAACCTCATATAATGAAGAAGATTTCAAATTTTATATTGATTACAAATATAATTTCAAAAGACTTGCCCTTATCTTATAAATTAGTTTTGTAAGAAAGAATTAAATTAAACTCTAATTTTAATATGATATTAAATTTTATCGATCGTATTACGGGACACACAATTTATATTCATGGAATAAGTCTAATAAACTTAAAAGAACTTTATATAGAGTGAAAAACATCACTTTACAAATCGGTCTTATAAGATAGTATTAGATCAAACAACTAATTATAATATCATAAAACAAAGTTATACTTTAGAGGTGAACATATTATTGGAGAACAACAAGGTAACTCATTGGAACTACTCCTTTTTTCTCACATGTTATACCTTCTTATTCATAAGATCATAGATAACTCAAGTTTCTTCTTCATACTTGGTGTCTTAAAGAGAAGATTTCAAATTTTATATTGGTTATAGATGTATTTTCGAAAAGACTTTATATAAATAAAATATCCCTTATCTTATAAATTAATTTTGTAAGAATGAATTAAGTTAAATTCTAATTTTAATATGATATCAAATTCTATTGTTCGCATCATAGGACACCCCAATTTATATTCGTGCACTAAATTCATTGGAGGAGAATATATTATGCCAACCATTGGAGAACAATAAGATAACCCATTGGAACTACTCCTTTTTTCCTCATGTGTTATACCTTCTTATTCATAAGATCATAGACAACTCAAAGCTTTTTCTTCATACTTGGTGTCATGATGATGAAACCATCTTAAAGGATTTAGAGGAGGTGGTTAAGCATTTGGCATTATTCGGGAAGTGAGTTCAGGATTGAGTCTTGAATTGAATATTTGTAATAATGCAATTTTTTTGGCTTTCGTATGACAATAATAAACATCATAGGTATTGTTTTCTTCACACATTGGGAAATTAGTGGTGGGGTGAAATTGTTGAAAGAGACATCTATTTGGTTTGATAAAGAGTGGCGGAAAAAATTAAAGACTGTGTGGTTGGTCAAATTCTTTCATTGGGAACTTTCGATGGAGGGTTTCTTTACCTATTATAGTTAAGGTATTGGATTTGTCCTTAATAGTAGAGACAACCTCAAATACTTTTGTGGCTTCCAGGATTCAATTTTAGTTGTTACAAGATCATATATTGAGAGACAGTATTGGTGTATATGGTATGAAGTGTTGAGAAACAAGTGTGAGTTTTAAGTTTCACATTGTTTGAAAAAGTGAAGGTTGAACATTTTATAAATGAGATGACCTATACATCTATCACTTTAAAATTTTGGATGAATATGTGGTGTCTCTCTCACTTATTTGGGCGAATCTTTGATCTTTAGGTGATTGTTTGGCCCAATGTGAATGTTTTCCCTTCATGATGATTCATCAGTGGTATCAGAGTCTGATTCGAGAAAGAGACAGACTCCTTATATCAAAAATCTTCCTGGCATGGTGGTGTTCAGGCGTCGTGTTCTGTTGTAGTGCCCATGACGAGTAAAATGTGTCTAGCAACGACGGTCTAAGTATATGGGGATGAAAAATCTTCCATTTGAGGGTAGCATAATGGATGTATTCACACTTGAGGGGGAGATTTTTGAGAAACAAGTATGAGTTTTTAGTCTCACATTGCTTGAAAAAATGAAGGTTAAATATTTTATAAGTGAGATGGTCTATATACCTATCTCCTTAAGGTTTTTGGTGAATATATGGTGTCTCTCACTTGTTTGGGTGAGACTTTGACCTTTAGGTGAGTGTATGATATATCACAAACTTCGATTTTTTACATGACTTTGAATGGTGTTAGTCGTACGATTCTGACTTTTGACTTTAGCAATTTTACTAATAAGGACAAAACCTGTTAAATCTCAATATGCTTTGTCGATAGAACCTTTTAGTAAAAGTGTTTCGAATATAGAATTAAAGTTTGACATTACCACAAGATAAAAAAACATTTTTTTAGTGTTTACAAGCATCACATACTCAATATTTTTTTATTGTTATTTATATTGAGATTTGGTAGACTAACATATATCACTGGTAGATTATCGTATTATCTTCAAGTATCATCTCATGATTTAGTTATTGTCAGTTGATAATGTTTGCTCTATTTGTCGTAAGACATTATTTAAAATAATTTTAAAAAATTATTCTGTCTTTGTATTTAAAAAAATAAAATTCATGAATTTTTTAAAAAATAACAAAAGTTATTTTAAACTAATTTTTTATGAATTAATTTTTTTTTTTTAATTTTCACCACCAATATCCGGTCCACTTGACCATTTAATTTAGTTTGAAATTCAGTTCTAACATCAAATGGTTCGAACCGTGTTCCTCCATGCTAATTTCTACATCAATCTAATAACATAAATATATAATATTAAAATCTAAAATATAGTCACAATCACATAATTATTTAAAAATATATATCTCAAAAATAATTTTTCATATAAAGTTACTCAAAAACCACTTCAAATTTAAGAGATTTTTTTTAACTTTAATATAAGAAATTGAACTAAAATAATAAAATACTATAAATAACATTTTATATAAAAAATTAGGTTTAATTACAATTTTAGTCCTTTTATTATTCATTTATTTAGATTTCAATCTCTTCATTTTAAAATCCAGAATTTTAATTCTTTTATTTAGTTTCTTTTTTTTGAAGATTTTAATTCCTCTATAAATTTGAGAAATTTTTTAATGACTTAACACTCCATTTACTGACGTGTCTCATGCCAACTCACCAATGTACGGTTTCAAATCATTTTATTTATTTCAGATTTATTACAATGTGTTTTTAAAAATACATAATTTATTTTATTTCAGAATAATAAATTAACCATTTCATTTTTATTACATAATTAATTTAATTAAACCTAATTGAAATTATCCATTCATCTTCCCCTTTTCTATTTTTCCTCAAAAAGCGAAGAACTCTAAAACATCTCAGCATCAATTTCTTTGTCTTCATCTGCTTATGGAAGAACCTGGTACCATGTTCCTAATAACAACAACACCAACAACCACTGTTTCATGATAAAACATGCGGCATTGTGAAATTCTGTAATAGAGCTCAAATTGTAATTAACACAATTCCTGCAACACAGGTGAACGAAAAGGAAGCCACATGGGTCATTAAGGAATTTTAAATGCTAGTTCAGATTTTGGAAATAAAAAATAGTGAATAAATTATATAGTTGTTTCTAAAGGAAAAATGCTGGATTTCACATTTTGGATTATCCCTTTTATTCACTGTGTTTTGTTTTTACATTTACCAATCTCTATTCTAACCAACAAATCTATTACACTACTCAATTAATTATGGTATAAGGTTATGGTTTCTATCTGGAATAAAAGAAATTGCAATAGAATTGATCTCTGAATCAAATGAATGCTGATATTCATCTTAAGGTTCTTTTATTTTTAGAGAAAAATAGAAATAATGAAGGAAAAAATTATAAATTACTGTTGAGTTCTATTAGTTTTTTATTTAAACTAGACTTTCACCAGTGCGATACACGTGTTTTTTAAAATATCATAGATAAAATTTGATCTGACCTGATCAGAAGGTTTAGACCGTCACGGCTGCTCCGAGCTGAAGGCTTTTTGAACGAGGAGGGGGGGTACCTGCA